CCAATGTAGAGCTCCGAACACTCCTCTTTGCATTGGACTGCATACACTGTATTACTCCTGTGCTTTGGTGTCCGGTCTTTTGGGTGGAAGAATCTCTGCCTTAGTGTGTTTGTGGGTTTGAAGTGCATGGGTATGTGGTGTTTACCAAAAACCCTTTAAAGCTTTTCAGACTTACATGCCATGTATGGAATGACAAGTTCTTCCATCGGCTCTGGGTCTCAGACTGTTCCATTGTCCTGCTGGGTTGGGACATTGCCTTGTTAAAGGCCCATTTTGGATATCCATAGGCTAAACCACAGAGCAAGAAACATCCCCACTTCCACAGAAACCAAGAAGAAGGAAGATGGACATCTGAAGATAGCCCTTAAAGATTATGGATATCCAACGATTATTAATGACCCATGACAATGAGTGAAGAAGGAGTGCAGAGGTGGGATTTTCACTCAAACCCCCCCCCCCCATTATTTGTGCATCAAACAAGCTTATTCAGACCAGGGGGAAGTGAAACCAACATGGAGGATATATCAGGGGTCTCCTACCAACTCTCCTCAGACTGAAGCTACTTGGATGAGTAATGAAATGTTTCAACTTAATAAGAAAGAAGTCCAGTTGCCATGACTCAACTTCCAGATAACCTCACCTGGATGGCTGAGAATCTTCAGAGATACATTGGAAGTTTGTTTCCATAAAATTTCAATACTTTGTAGGCAGCAGTATTAAGATGGTAAAGAGGCATATGGTAGTCCTTTTAATTTATATTAATGTCAAACTCTTGCAAATACATATTTAAAATACACCTTTCAGTCCTTTAATGATATGACCTTAGTCTTCTCGTCCTATACCACCATAAGTCCAGTGCTGTCCTTTGACAGTATGGAACTGCACTGTTATTTTGTAGTTTATTTCCAAATGTTTTCTTTCTCTGTCCTAAAAGGCATTAAATTGGTTCTCCAGGTTGCCCAGACTTAGAGGTTAGAATAGCTAAATAGACCACTTACCTGAAGGTATGCTCTTGGCCCAGAAGCGCCCTCTTGTGGTCTTGGTTGACAGCAACAGCCAAATTGAGAATTATAAGTTACTATCTTAATCTATGGTCTTCTGTCAACAGGAATCTTTATTTTATTTTAAATATTCAACTAATGTCAATAAAGATTTTCTAGTGCCCCTTGTTGTTCAGGCAGCTGTTCACTATGCTTTCCAAAGAGAATTCATCAGAAGATTTTTATTATTTATTTATTTAATTTATAACCCATTGTTTCATCCAGAAAGGGCTTTTATGGTTTAGCATTACATGTTTTAGCTTCTTTTGCTCCCTCTGTGTCTTTGCCACGTGGAGAGGATTGGAAGCTTTTGCTATGTCATCATTGTATGTTGTTTTCAAAAAATACAAGCCAGTAGTGTTCTTGTCTAGTTTTAATATACCATAGTTAAGTTTATGCTGTGGGTTACAGTCCGAGCTTATTACCTAGGCTACTTTTCCTAATCTTGAGTCCTTAGAAGAGTATGGTTTACAGTTCCTCTATTACAGTATCAAGGAATGAATGTAAGTTTTGTTCCAAATGCGGAAAAGAAGCCCTAAACCATGATTAAGGTTGACCATAGCTTGGTTTGAACATTGTTATCGTAGTTAGAAGCAAAAGCTTCTGATCTCTTTCTCATGGTGGATAGGATGAGTAAAAAAGAAGGACACAGACTGGTTTCTTATGGTTTAGCATTTCACTATGTTTTTTTCTTGTGGTCATGAGATTAATTAGAAGTATCATTCCAGTTTGTGGGGGAAAATAGATAACAACAACAACAAAAATAGACAAGTGAAGCCTGCAGCTATGGATTTAACACACATTGGCTGAAATCCAGTAATAAGTTGCAACTAGAGTAGGTACTTTGAATCAACAGAGAACCAATTTCCCCTTCAATTGCATTGATTCAATGGGCTTACTATAGTTACGGCTTAGTGATGAATTTCAGGCAGTGGTTTCGTAAAACCAGGGCTTACACATTCCGAGTGCCAGAGGTGATGACATAACTTGTAATCAGAATCACTACCACTGCTCCTCAGAATTCCCATTTTTTTATTTTTATTTTTTTATTTAGCTACAGTCCTCACAGTAGCTGGGGAAAATGTATTTTTCCTAAAAATATAATGACCATGTGAATTATTCCCATTATAATGCAAAATATTTGGGACAGCATGGCCTTCTGTGAGCAGTTAAGACCTGTTTGCTTTACAGAATAAATGATCGTGGAGGGGATGACAAACACTAGAATTGGGTTTTTAGAAACACTGAGGTGAAAATATTTCTTTCTGGTCTTGAACTTCTGGAAGATCTTGAGTGGGAGAAGGAGGAGTCAGATAGAGACTGGGATGAGAAGCAGATAGAGATAAGGGCTGGTTCGTCAGAGAGAGAGAGGGAACAAATACTGAGAGATAACGCTGGTTAAGAAAATAGGTAGAGAAGGTGGTAATGATATAGCAAGAGGAAAGAAGTATGTACAGTGGTGTGCCGCTTGACGACAGTAATCCCTTCCAGGAAAATCGCAGTTAAGCGAAATCGTCGTCAAGCGAAAAAAAAACCATTGGAATGCATTCAAAACTGGTTAATGCATTCCAGTGGGGAAATACCTCATCATTCAGCGAAGATTACCCATAGAGAACCGCCAGTCAGCTGTTTAAAATTGCTGTCTTCCGAAGCTTCTGTCCAGAAAACAGTCATTTTGCAAGGGGAGGGAAGCTATTTTGCAGAGCTGGAAAAAACATCCATTTACGAACAAACGGTTTGCGAAGCAGGGACCTAATCACTGTAAAGCGGATTTCCCCCACAGGAACCATCGTTTTGCGATCGCAATAGCGATCGCAAAAAAGTCATCGTTAAGCGATTTCGATGTTATGCGGGGTAAGCGTCTAGCAGGGCACCACTGTACTGAGAAAACTGTTAATGATTTGCTTGTGTATAATGTTTATCTGAGAAACCTCTGTTATTAGTCTTTCTGCTTCACTTCAGTAAATAAGTTCTGTTCCTGTTTACAAGACAAGTGCTCTGATATATGTCATTTGTATCATGGATTGAGGTAATCTACAGATGGCAGTGAGAGGAAAATGTGATGTGAGCCTTTGTGACAGAAGGACAAGCAGGGGGCACAAGGGTGAATGCCACAATGAGACCTAACCAGTGCTGTATAGAGAGTGACTATTATTTCACAGAATTTGTAGATTATTCTCCAGTTAATGCAATCTAAAATAGCATTTGCCTTTCTTTGCAGCCACATCACACTGTTGGCTCATATTCAACTTGTGATCTACAGTAATTCCAAGATCCTTGTTGCTCATAGTATTACTGAGCCAAGTATCCCTCATCTTGTAACTCTGTGTTTGGTTTCTTTTTACTAGGTGCAGTACTTTACAGTTATCCCTGTTAAATTTCTTTCTGTTCTTTTCAACCCAGTGCTTAAGCCTATCAAGATCTTTTTGAATGTTGTTCTTTTTTTCATGGTGTTAATTATTCCACCCAATTGTGTGTCATCCACAAATTTGAGCAGTATTCTCTGCAGTCCCTTGTCCGAGTCATTAATAAAAATATTGAAGATCACCAGGCCCAGGACAAATCCTTGTCTAACCTTGTTAACCTTGTTAGCTCCTTTCAGTTTGAGAAGGAGCCTTGATGAGCACTCTCCAAGTACAAATCTATAACCAACTGTGTATCCACCTGACACTTGTGCTAACCAGCTCACACCTAGTGAGGCTGCTAATCAGAGTATCATGGGACACTTTCTCAAAAGCTTTGCTGAAGTCAAGATATATCTGCAGCATTCCCACCATCTACTTAGGGAGGTTACCTGATTAAAAACATAAGGGTAAGATTCATCTGGCAGGATGTGTTCTTGACAAAATACGTAATTTTCAGTGAAGCACAAGATACATCTGCTTGTAGAAATAGTTTAGAAATCTGTTTTGATATTTGTGTGCCAGCAGCTTTGTTGCATTTCTTAAAACTTCAAGAGAAATAGGTCTGTCTCAGATTTGGTCTGAAAAATTATTTCCTGAAGAATATATCACATTAAACAGAGATGGGATGTTGTGCTGTATAGCAGAGGTTGTCAACCCCCGGTCCATGGCCCAGTGCCGGTCTGGGCTGCGGAGACAAATCTCCCGCCCCCCTGCACTTACTCCCCTCCCCACAGCTGCCTTGTGCATGCACACATGTGTCAGCACTAGCGTGAGCTCTTCCCCACACCTTCATGCATGTGCCTGAGTGCTCCTGTGCATGCACGAAGGGGTGGGGGAGCACTTGTTCTGGCGGGTGTGCACGCTCTACCCCACCGCTTCATGCATGCACCTGAAAGTCCACACCCACATGATCGTGGGGGGTGTCCCGCCTTCCTCAGAGGCTTAGCCGGTCCACGGTCCCAAAAAGGTGGGGACTGCTGCTGTATAGGGCTGAGATTCAGGACCTTCCAAAAAACCTAAACCACTTGAAGTTAACACATAGAATTATTTTGAAATGTCTGCTCTGTGACTGTGGTAAAGTGGATCTAAGCTGTGACAGGCACCTTTTACTCTGCAACACGTTTGAATGATATGATGCATTTAGCTGAAAGAATTTAGTCTTCTTACCGCAGTTACAGCAGCAGGGAATACAAATGTCAGTTTCAGAGGGCTCATTCTTATATCCAGCTAGAAGATTACATTTCACATGGCTGTAGTTTGTGACTTCTGTATGGATATTTTCAGTGCTTTGCTCACAATAGCTTCTAATAACAGTTGGGAAAAACAATGTTCTTAGGATATGCAGTAGAATTTCAAAATCTTTGAAGGGGATACATTTCTTGTGCCACCCCCATGAAAGGCTCTTATATGTATGATATCTTTCTTTTCAGTTTTGTATTTCCATTGAAAATCAAGATGCAAGTGCCCCAAAGAGAAATAATAGTGTTCTAATACAGGCTTGCATGTGAAATCATTACTGACTATGTTTTTATATTGTTGTCTTCCATTATTATAGGTACTATAGTGCTACCATTATGCAGATGTCAGGTGTTCAAGATGACCGACTTGCAATTTGGCTTGCTGCAGTGACAGCATTCACTAATTTCCTTTTCACTCTTGTTGGAGTCTGGCTTGTTGAGAAAGTGGGACGCCGGAAACTCACACTTGGAAGTTTAGCAGGTATGTGTATAAGACTAGAGCGGTTTGACCATATCTTCATTATAATGTGTTCTGTAATGAAGGACAAAAGAAGAAATGCAAGTATATCTGAATTTGGAAATGTAATAGCAATTAAACTTTTCTTTTTGGCAAAATACTCCTCTTAAATTATCTCAAGCAGGTCTGTTTGTTTCAGTGCTATGAATCACACTGACTTATCAATTAACTAGGACAGTGGTTCTTAACCTTTGTTACTTGGATGCTTTTGAACTGCAACTCCCAGAAACCCCAGTCAGGACAGCTGGTGGTGAAGGCTTCTGGGAATTGCAGCCCAAAACTCCTGAGTAACCCAAGGTTAAGAACCAGTGAACTAGGACAGTGGGGTCCCAAGCACCGAAAGTGATAGACCTGTATTAATTTGCCTGATTACAGACATGCAGAGCGTTTTTAAATCTCATATGCCAATAGGTAGTTTTTTATTTAAAGTATTCATAGCATGCTTATGAATCAAAAAGGATTCCAGAGCAGCATGCAAGCCAATAGAAATAAATCTGTTTTTGTCATCAGACTTACAGTGTAAAGAGACCCATGTAAGAACCACACTCAACTGCACAGTTACGGTACCGTATTTTTAGCTCCATAAGACGCACCTCTCCATAAGATGCACCAAATTTTTAGGCGAAGAAAACAGGAAAAAATAATCTGGGAATTTCGTTCCATAAGACGCATACACTTTTTCCCCAATGTTTTTTTGGGGGGGGAAAAAGTGTGTCTTATGGTGCGAAAAATACAGTAATTCAAGCCTAGAAAAGGGGGGGGGAATGGCTGAAATTGAGTAGGAAGTTGGAACTAGAGTAGTCTTACTAAATCAAAGGGATTTAGCAAGTTAATTCCTGTGTAATTTCCATTGACTCAATGGGCCTAGTTGCAGCTTATGACTGGATTTTAGTCAATATTGTTGTTTGTGGTTTCTCTGAAGATAAGAATGTTGACTTTTCACCAGATTGAAAGCTGCAGATGGGTTTTACTGATTGATGTAAATCACTGCAGCTCACCAAAGGGACTAGATTCCAAAATGAGTGTAAGAGACCTTCTAGTGCTTCAGTATGCTTCACTACATTCCAGAGATGTAAAAGAAGGGTGATTGCTAGTCTGATACAATTTGTCAGTGTTCCTGGGAGCCCGAGCTACCTTTATCTCCTAAATTCAAGAGATGCAGGGATGGGGATGAGGGGCAGGAAATATAAGGCAGGGTTGTTTTGCAGGTCTTTGGAGGCTAGGAACTGCTATTTCACCATTTACGTGACATGCATTTTTATACATGCCTAGTTTAAACATTAATGTTTGTGTTTTTGCTAGGTTTTATTGTATTTGATCATTTATATTGAATATTTTGTTGTTATATGTTTCGTTATTGTGTTGTGCACTCTTCTGTGTCTCTTTGGAGAGAAGAACAGCACATAAATAAATAAAATAAATAAATAAATACAAAAACATTTTCATTTACCAGAAAAGCCATATACTGTAGAAAGCCAGTACAGTGGTGCTTCGCAAGACGAATGCCTCGCAGGACAAAAACCTCACAAGACAAATGGTTTTGGCAATGGGGATGATGACTCGCAAGACGAATGATCCTATAGCCATGCTTTGCAAGAAAAAATGTTTTCCGCTTTTTGTTCCTGCCTCATGTTTGCTGATTTTTAAATGTTTTTCTATGATGTTTAAAGTTTTTTGATTGAAAATTTTGAAATCATCTGCACAATATGTATGGCTTTAAAGAGCACTTAATAAAGCCTTTGTAAACCAAATTTGACTTTGTTCTGACTTTTTTTGCCCATAGGAATGCATTAATTAGATTTCAGTGCATTCCTATGGGAAAATGTCTTTCGCAAGACGAATTTTTTGCAAGACAACATTAACTGTGAAATGAATTATGGTACCACTGTATATGGTACAGAGATAGGAACCTCTGGGGTCTGGATAGATAAGGTCAGTGGTCCCCAACCTTGGGCCTCCAGATGTTATTGGACTACAACTCCCAGAAGCCTTCACCACAACATCTGCTGGCCAGGATTTCTGGGAGTTGAAGTCCAGGAACACCTGGAGGCCCAAGGTTGGGGACCACTGCATAAGGTAAAATGTCCAGGAAGTATTCTTAGGAACTGAGTTCTGCTATGCAGCCCAAGAAGGAGTTGCACTGGGGCTTATTTTGAAACAGACGTATATAGAATTGAGCAGTGCTCTAAAAGCTTGATATGAATGAATAATTAGATGAGATTAACATCTGGCTTTGCCCTGCCCAGTTTTGGAATGATTCTCAGATCATTCCCAAATTTGAATTTGAAGGTTACACACCCTTAATATGATCATAATTATAATTGTATGTTATCAAATTGATTCTGGCTTATGCAACCCTTTCCAGGATTTCCTAGGCAGAATAGTCAAAGTAGGTCACCATATCCTTTTTCTAGGAGGGCTGGTGGGACTGTGCTGCTTGCCCAAAGCTAGACAGGCTGACTCCTCTCCTGGGATGACATAATTGAGGATGGTGTAAATTTACAAAGTTAACTGCTTGTAGACATTACAGCAAATGCCTCCATACCAAGCTCCTGCTCTCTCTGACTAAGAAGTCCAAGTAGCTTTTGCTGGGTCTTGCCATAAACACCCTGGGAAAGCTCTGACAGTTGCACTGTTGTATTTATACTTTAAAGAAGGGAGACTGAATGAAGCTTAAATGTAAAACACTGCAGGTGTACCAACAAGGATCTGTAGAGAATTGAGAATAGATTTTTTTTGTCTTGGCTCCATATATTGTGTCCCCTGTTTCTATTCAAAGCACACCTTCTGGAGTACAAGTCTCCAAGATAAACACTATTCTTACTTATGCCATTTGCTATGTTTTCCTCTAATTAATAGAAATCTTCAAATGCTATTTCTTAATAAAGTGGCTATTTAAAATCTGTGCATACTTGGTTAGTTTGGGAGATATTAAAACTAGATGAAAGCAATGGTTTTTCATTTTATCTGCAAATGACATTCAGTCTAATTATATAGGTGCAGGCCCATGGTGCCTCCCCGAGACATATTGAGGAGCTGGTACCTACCAGGAATTTATTATTATATAGACAGAGTCAACTGAACATTTTTTTCCACTGTAAATGAGCCAATTTTGGATTAAGATTTTTGTCCTGGAGTAATGTGCTTTGTTTCTTTTTTGTAGGCACCACAATTGCACTTGTTGTTCTAGCATTGGGATTTTTGCTGTCGGCTCAGATTTCCCCACAAGTCACTCTTAAACCTGAAGGGCCTTCAAGTCAAAACACTACTTGCACAAATTATGGGTAAGATGCTGTCATTTCCTCATAAGACCATCCGATATTCAGCTAGTTTCTCTAAATCTAGATAATTATAAGCTTTCATTAAATCAATGTGGTTTTTTAAAATTAAGATATGTTCGAAGAATGGTTCTGTTCCTTTAGTTATGGAGTTTGTTCTGATAATAGCAAAGGAGTACCAGTGAGTAAAGATGGTGCTAATAAAATATAAGCAAAAATGTTCTGGCTTCATAATAAGTTTTTCTTCCTCCAGAAGGAAGTAATAAAAACTTAATTAACACTTTAACATGGCAGTGAGGAAATTTAGGCTCTCCAGATGTTTTGGATATAAGATTGCAGAAGCCCCAGTGAACAGGGGTAAGGGATTGTGGAAGTTGCTATCCAAAACATCTGGAGGGCCAGGGGTCTGGAGGACCGTTTCGTTTCACTAAGATAATACTGTGCTATTGTGGGTAGAGCATTTCCCAGGCTACTCAATGCTTTTTGTTTGTGGAAGACGGCTGTGAAACCTTTGGCCTTTTGGACCCTATAGAGTCCCACTGCTCTAAGAGAGCAGCCTGGCCTGTTACAAAGTGCAAGGGAAATCTCTGGTTTCTGTTTGTCCTCCCACATCTGCACCTTTCTGGTGTCACATGAGTGCTGTTCCAAAAGCGGCAACAGCAAGCTGTAGACATTTCCTATAGGCAGAGAAGTTCCACTGCATACAATGAACTCTGTTCATTGTTCTTATAATCCAAGCCAATCTGTTCTGGGGTTTTGGTTGGTATTGATTACTTTATGCGAGCTTCTAGTGATTAATGTTTTAAAAGCCAAATCCATTAATTGGAAAGTGCAGATCAATTTAGCATGGCAGGGCGTATGGCTATGTTGCAAGATGAAGAGGAAACAACACATGCGTAGTGCCTGTTGCAGAAATAGGCAAGGTGTCTTTTGGGTTGGGAGGATGTGAAACATGTTTTGTAAATTCTATGGTGGAATGCGGTGGAATCAAAACCAGTCTTGTGTTGTCTGGCATGCTGACAACAAGTGCTCGATGTGTTGTGATGTTGCCTCAGTGCCTTACACCTGCTCTGATCATGTGACATTTGCCAAATGCATACATCATATTACGACATACTTCAGTGAGTTGGATTAGCATCTTGTTGCAAGGGAGGAAAATTAGAAGGTGGGGATTCATGGAAAGGTGTGTAACAAGGAACTTGTGCTTAGGTTTCATTGTCTTATCTTCCTGTAAGCCCCACCATTCCTTCCAAAGATAGTGACATCATGTGCTTTATACTAGCATTGTGCAACTTCCAGTGTTTCTGGCTTACCAGCCTTTTTCTTTAAGCTTGATCAATAAGTCTTACTCTTGTCTTTGAGCTGTGAACTGAAACAATGTCAAGACTGCAGGAAGATATTGCCAAATAATATTATCTTTGTAGAAGAAATGTATACAGTCCTTTGTAGCTAATGTCCATGCATCAAAAAGTTATTTGCAATGAATGTTTTTCTGCTGTTAACAACACTGTTAAGCTTTTGTTCTTCTTCGTGGTCTCTGTGAATGCACACTAACGGGTTCTTCTTCGTGGTCCCTATGAATGCACACTAATGGGTTAATCTGCACCTGCACAGAGCAGCTTTGGAACAATCCAGACCTCGAGCACATTCCAGACCTCCCACACGCTCGCTATAACCCTGCCCCAGAACCATGTGCCTCAGTTCCTTTCTTGCCGCTGCTGCAGCAGCTTCATTAGGAACTACCATGCGTTTGCAAATCTTTTAGCAACCTTATCTATGTTTGACTAGTGCTGCTTACTAGTTGCAGGGTTTATGGCCCTGTTGGACCTCTTCAAGAGTTGGCGCAGGCTAGCCCATGATCCTCTCCAGGCTTGATTGGGTGGCAAGCCTTCTTATCTTTACTAGTTGCAGGGTTTATGGCCCTTCAAGAGTTGGCGCAGGCTAGCCCGTGGTCCTCTCTAGGCTTGATTGGGTGGCAAGCCTTCTTATCACCTCTGGAATAGTTCATGGAGGAGGCTCCACAAAAACAGACTCATAAGTCGAGGCACCTGGAGCCACCCCTTGAGGCCAGGCCTTGCAGGTACCTGTAGGTACTGGCGCGTGTGTCGGCTTGCTATGCGAGATGGCATTATTACAACCTTCCTCCATATGCAGAGTCAGAAAGTTTTGAGCCCAACCCAAAGTTCTGTTCAAAGTCTTACAGATTCGACACATACCTTCGGTATCGTTATTATTGGACCTATTCACCTTCACTGTCTCACTCTCCCCCTCGACACCAATGAGTTCATGATCGGCTGGTCAATACTGAGGGTGCTATCTCTCCTCCACCTCTACCATGGCCCTGCAAGAGGTGCTTGCCTTTGGACCTGGCCTCAGCTGCGGAAGCTAAGCAGCTCTTTTGACCTGTGTCGGACCTGGAGGGCAGGCAATTGGCCTAGAGCGCCCGCGCTCCCCTCCATGTCCCTCTGCTAGGCTGCAGGCGGGCAATCAGCGGGGCAATGCAACTACCTGCCACTTACCATCAGCTCCAGAGCACTACTCTCCTTCGATTGACCAGGAGGCTCTGGACTCGGACTCTGTGGAGTCACTTGGTGAAAAAGAATCTCCTCCTAACATTTCCGCACCGGTGTCTGATGTGGCGGAAAATCACCCCTCTTCACTGTCTGAGGATTTTTTTTTCCTATTCGCAATTAATCCTTCAGATTGTGAAGGTGCTGGAGCTCAACGTTGAGCAGCCTCCTGTAAAAAAAGTGGATAAGGTGTATGAGGACATTACCCATGATCAGTCTCCACCTCTCAGGTTTGGCTTTATAACATCATTTTCTGAGTTCAGGAGGGAGTCCTGAGTGAAGCTGTCCTCCTATCAGATCCCCAGGAGGGTGGAAAATCTTTATAAAACCTACAGAGAGAACACCGAGATCTTCTTGAAGCATCCTTTACCTAACTCCTTCATGGTAGATGCCACCCAAAATAGAGCAAGGAACCGATCTGCATCTTCACCTAACAATGAAAATGGCCATAAGTTAGATATTGTTGGCAGAAGGACTCCTTGGCTTCTTTTGCTTTGAGAGTTGCCAACTATTCTACCACCATGGGGGCCTGTCATCGCCATCTATGGAATTTCACGCTACCTATTCTTGAGGGATGTGATGACGCTGCGTGTTAAACCGCAGATGCCTCTGTGCTGCAAGGTCGGAACACCAGCAGTTGTAAGATTGAATCCACGCAACAGAGTGAGCTCCTGTCGCTTGTCTCAGCTCCTGTCAACCTAGCAGTTCGAAAGCATGTAAAAATTTGAGTAAATAAATAGGTACCACCACGGTGGGAAGGGAACAGCATTCCATGTCTTGTTGCGCTGGCCACGTGACCATGGAAACTGTCTACAGACAAACACTGCGGCTTGGAAATGGGAATGAGCACCACTCCCTAGAGTCGGACATGACTGGACTAAATGTCAAGGGGAACCTTTACCTTATTCTTGTGGTGGCACCCGAAGATGTCCGGGCCCAGGGCTTATCTTTTCACCAGGAGGCTATGTTGTTAGCTCATCAAGAGCATATTGCAGCTCGGCATACTCTGGATGCAGCGTCAAAGCAACTGGCCACAGCTGTCTCCCTATGCCGCCATGCCTGGCTATGCTCAGCAGGTGTTTCTGAGGACGCAAGGGCAAGGATTGAGGACCTGCCATTTGGTGGCATTGGTCTTTTTTTATGAAAAGACCAATGAGATTCTTGACAGCCTACTGAAGCTCAGGAAGATGGCCAGGTCCTACTCTAATTAATAGTCCCATCCCAGGGGCTCCTGGCACTGCCTGTATCAGGCCAGAAATTTTCAAGATAGGCACGCCACCCGGAATGGAAGGCCAGGTAACCTCTTTGACACTTTCACCTTGTCTACAGTTGACCCTTTGATCCACCTTGTCCCCTTCTTTCACTCCTGGCGTTCTATCACATCAGACTCCTGGTTCTTCCTATCGTAGCCAGGGGCTACGCTATTGAGTTTGATAGTTCCCCTGTCACGGGCCACTTCTTGTCCACCACTCTTTCTCATACTTTGGAAGATAAAATTCAGGCCCTGCTCCAGAAGGATGCTGTTGTCGGTTTACATCACCCCAACGCGTCAGTGGACTTTTACTCTGGATATTTCACTATCCCAAAGAAGGATGGGGGACTCCGCCCTGTCCTTGACCACCGCAACCTGAACTGGTATATTACTCTTCAGTGGTTTTGTATGATCTCTCTGGAGCACCATCCACATGCTTAAGCAAGGTGACTGGTTCACGGTAGTAGATCTGAAGGACACCTATTTTCATATTAGCATCAGATCACTGGCATTTTCTCAGATTTTCAGTAGGAGAAGTAACATGAGTTCAAGGCCCTTGCCTTTGGATTGTCCACTGCACCTTGAGCTTTCACCAAGTATATGGCCCCTGTGGTAGCACATCTTCATCTTCGAGGTGTCACAGTGTTCCCCTATTTGGATGACTGGTTGCTGGTAGCACAGTCCAAGTTGCAGGCAAAGAGGCATACAGCACTAACTCTGTCTCTGCTGACCCTAGGCCTGAAGGTCAACTTGGAAAAGTCAACACTCCGTTGTATTCAGCGAGTGGCATATATTGCGGCAACCCTAGATACCTTATCGTGTTAGGCCTCTCTCCCCTTAGAAAGGATCTCGAAGATCGAGTCCATGCTATGCCTGTTTTGCCCAGATATGTGGGTACCAGCCTCCCAAGTTCAGTGACTACTTGGCCTCATGGCATCCACCACAGCTTTGGTGCAGCATGCCCACCTAAAGATGAGATTGCTGCAAGCATGGTTCCTCTCATTTTTTCGGTGGTGCTGGATCCTCTGACCAAGTGTCTACAGGTGATGCTCGAACTGACAGCTCAATTGACTTTGTGGGGCCGTCCTTCAAACCTACTGATAGGAAGACCCTTTGGCTAGCTGTCACTGTCTGTTCAATTAACCACAGATGCCAGCCCAATGGGCTGGGGTGCTCACATGGGC